GTGGATGTATCGACCAAATATTCACACTGCGCCAGGTCCTGGAACATAGGCATGCTTACAGACGCCCGACAATAGCTGTATTTCTCGACCTGAAGGCGGCATTTGACTCCGTTGATCGAGAAGTCTTATGGCAGTGTCTGTCACTGAAAGGCGTGCCTAGTAAGTACATCACCTTATTGAAAGCTCTCTACTCGAACACTTGTGGGCATGTTAGAGCCTATGGTGAGTTGTCCAGGGAGCTATACTCATCAAGTGGTGTCCGTCAAGGATGCCCACTATCCCCATTCTTATTTAATTTTATCATAGATATTCTTATGGAGGTTTCCCTCTCGTCACCTAATTACACAGACGTTGACCGATCACAGGTGAATTTTCTTTAGATCTAGAATATGCAGATGACATAGTCAGTCCTGTTAGGTGAAGACGCTGACTGATGAGATGCAGAGTCTTCTTCATCCTTCACCTTACTACCTTTTTACTTGATGTGCTGATATGAGGTGTGGCAACTCGGACCGTTACGCAGTAATGCCTGGTCCTATGTTGATAATGATGATGATGACTATATACGTACTGGAATTAAGATGTGCCCTACTGTGGGTAAGCGAATTGCTGAGGAGCTGGAGATAACTAGGTTGATATCTGTTTATAGGTCCATAATAGTGACAAACATGAACTGTGACATCAAAGGTTTTTAGGTTTTAAAACTGGTTGGTATCACCAAAAAATGATATCTCTCCATAAGCTGATGAAATGGGTCATAGTGTTATGCAAGTCTGACCACCATGTCAAGGTAGCGCTTGTTGGTCAGGGAGAGTCTACTGCTTGTATCTAAAAAGTTTTCAAGTGAAAACAGTTACGAATCACATGACGCTGGATAATGAATAACAGGGAACACAACAGCTCATGAGATATACATGAATCAGTCAGCTGATACGCTAATTTTTTCTACTAAGTGATTAATTATTTGCTGTGATAGCATATTAGAAGTCATATGAGTGTTCACTTATTGTATAAACATGATTGTAATTAGCTTCAGATGAGATTTTAGGAGTTCGGTCAATTAAATTTAACAAAATTAGTCGCTTTGTGGAGAATATTGGTCCCAATACCAGTATAAGCTATTTTAAGTTATATGAGGTGAGGTTCAGATAAAGGTTAGTCTTGATTAATTGTTTATTTATTTTGTGTCTATGCTAATTAACCGCCTAGAAAAAATCGACTGATCAAACTGAAAGCGAATATTTCACCAATGTATGTAAATGCAAGAACTGAATTTGTCTTCCAGCAGCAGGTAATTTTCACACTAAGAATAGAGGTAGTATGCAGAAAAGATGAGTCGAAATTCGATAGTTCATTTAGCTCTTTTTATAAGGAATGGTTACACATTGCCATAAAAGCCTTACGTGGTGTTGTAACTAAGGCATTTAGGGTCTCCACTTTAAGCCGGACTTATAGATTTCTGCTCCCTATCAGTCATTAGGTATTTAGCCACTACATGCGCATAAATGGCATTCACTAACTGCATATAACAAAACAATTATTACCTGAAATTGGTATCCCTTGTGTACTATCACATTATAATTGGTCCCACATTAGGTGGTCCCTTAGTATCCCACTAACTACTGTATTCCCTATATAAAATCTCATTTTCCGCTGAAACGTACAGGAGTCATATTCACGACTGCACTTACTTTGGGCCCAGTAACTTGCACCGAACAAATACCTATGCAAAAATCAAGACAAATCTATAACACTACCATCTCTAGTTTTGAGAACATCGTGGCATAATACTGACTATTGGTTTACTAGGTTACAGCTGAGTTGAATGACAAATCTGTGGCATGAACATTCAAAGAAAATAAATGTATTCTTATCAAGCAACAAGATGCAATTTCCAATCAGTAATTGTAAAACCTTGGTTGCAACGACAAACCCTAGCTAGATAGCTAGATAGATAGTACTAAGTAGCCATGTATCCTGTTAGAATTAGATGTGCTCTCACTTTTTTCAAACTATTTTTAGAAAGAAAAATAGTAGACATTTTCACAAGTGTAACAATATTGCCTAGATTTTGTGAAAAACACACAAGGAGGCAACCAAAGAAGACTGAATGAAATGAGGCTCTGAAAACATACAAAATATCATTGTTGTGCTACTAATAATGAGAGTAATTACCGATACCAATTGAGATGATCCTCCTTCTGAGGTTTCTCATAAACACCTAGCAAGTACTAGATGACGCCGAAAATTTATACAACTGAGTACGGAAGCTGCCTGTAACATTTGGTAATCATTAGTTTAACAGGGTAGCGAATGAAAAAACAGACCCAATAGTGGCATTGAAGAATTACGTCATCAGGTAACCGAAAATTCCTGCCATCTAAGAAACGAATAATCAGGAGCAGGTAGGTTATTACTGAAATCAACTGGACTAGGAACTGAAATATCCTCAATCCTTGCATACACACAATAACCTACTTTTTTAGTTTTTTTGGGACGAGAAATGAGAACCATTATAGCCTTACGTCTAGACATAACAGCAAGTAACGGTGGAAACTCAAGATTATGAAAAGGGCAGGGTAAAGTAATACGTAAATGTGATAATGAATGAGTGAGGTCACAGACTTCCGCATAGGCCAGTGATACGCCATGAGTACCAACGTTTGTCTAACACTCTCCTACGTGACTTTAGTGTCAGAACCATTCTAATTTCCCCCTGACTTCATTCCGTAGGGAGCATTTAATTAGCTAATAAAAGTCAGCTCTGACCCTTATAAAAACTTTCAGTATGCTACTCTAGCTAGGTTCCCACATGGTTGTATATTCTGGTTCGGTAGTAATTACTTGTAAGGATGAACCGCTAGATGCAAAGTCTTGCATGCTGTTACCAATTATTTATGGTTTTTAAGGGTGAAAGTGGCTAGGCTGTCAAAAGCGTTTACAGTAAAGTCTATCCCTTAGCCCAGCAACATATCTCCATGCCCCTATCAGCACCATATTACTCATGACTCTTTGACTGTAGTCTACATGATCTTTACAGAAAACTTTGCAGGGACTTACTGGTGACAGAAATCCCTCAATACCAAAACTAATGCAATAGAATTTGGATTTTTGAAAATAAGAAGCTGGAGGAATGAATTCAGTTTACTTTTAGACCTACTAAACTGAGTGATGCAATGAACTCATGTGGTATATTTGAAGAGTTAACATCATAAAACGACCTGAACACCATAATCTGCGGTCCACAGGATCTTTGAGTTTACGCAAATTCAAGAGCATGACGTATCAGGAGTAAAAACGTTTCACGCAAGCATTAAGAAATAAGGCCAATATGATGCACTTCTGTCAATGACTAGCCACATAAACTATCTGTGAAAACTATAATACTAGCGTCAGAGCAAGATGATACGCTCTTTGGCTTTTAGTCGTTTTAGGACTTGAAGGGGACCAATAGTCCCCTTAAAACTAGAACTAAGAATTTAGGAAGTTAAAGTCACTGTTGGGCTTCAGGATGAACACTTTATTCATAAAACAGATTTTTACCTCAATTCCCGATTTCTTCGATATCGGGAAGAAAAAAATCCTACATGCTTGATAACCGAGGTGAAACTACCATATAGAAAATGAATTCTCCCTCAAATGATAACAAACCTCGATAAAACTATGGACATTTTAGAATCACTTAGTGGTCGCTCAGGTTCGGCAAGATTTCCGCATTCTACCGACCTTTAGCTGATCGGTAACGTTAGACAGAAAGGCTGGCGGACGCCAAGTCAATATGAAAAAAACGTCACCAAATTTGTGTGAAACCTTTTAATTATTCTACTTTTATCCTCCCTTTATGGGGAATTCACCCGAACACTCTTTACGATAGGTATTTCACGGTAGATATTCCTGATTGCGTCGTGGTCGACTGGACTGGATCATGCAAGAAACAGTGAGGAGCTGTGAGAAGATGGGGTGGAGGATACGCTGGCTGTACCGGGGAAAAGAACCTAGAAGACTTGGATTTCGCCAACAATGACTTGTGTCTGATGTCGCACAAACTTGAAGATGTACAGGCGAAAGTAACGAGTTGACAGAAGAGGCAGGACAGGACAGGACAGGACAGGGCAGGGTAGCGAAGACGGAACTTCAAGTAAATATAGAGAAGACAGAGGTGATGAAGATACCCAACCAACACCATCAACAACAACAAGCTCCAATCACCATCACGGGGGAAACTTAAAGGAAGTAACCTCATTCACCTATCTAGGCATCAGTGCTTCAACTACAGGCGGCACAGCCACAGACGAGGATGTCGAAGTCAGCCAGCATCGGAAAGACAGCAAGATAGGAGTTCAATAGCCTGAAACCAGTGTAGAGATCTTCTGCACTCAACTCAGCATGTCGAACAACATCCGGATTTTTAACACCAACCTAGTCAATCCAGTGCTTGTGTATGGCTCAGAGACTTGTCACGTTACGAAAGACATTTCCAACAAACTATACACACTCATCAACAACTGCCTACGCTGGCTCGTTAATGAAGCTCAACTCAGATGGTCAGAAAGAATAAGCAACAAGGAGCTCTGGGGACGAACCAAACAAGAACCTGTCAAGTAACAAATATGTAGTGGAAGTGTAGATGGATTGGGCATAAACTGAGAAGGCCGACTGGTGACATCACGCGTCAGGCCAGTGTCTCAAGTGGAACCCAGATGGGAAGCGACGAGTTCGGCCTCCCAGATGAGGGTGACATGAAGGAGATCGTGCGAGGAGGAGATGAGAACTTGTGGGCTGTCGTGGAACCAGGTTCAAAAGATTTCAGAGAACAGAGCGCATTGGAGACGTGCTACTGAAGCCCATTAGGAACCCAAGTGACAAATAAAATAGTAATAAACATATCTAGAAGTTCTAGCTTAAGTTACGATTGATATCTTGAACTAAGCTAAAGGTGAATTAGACGATATTCATGCAGTTATTTTCCAACCAACTACTTGCAATAAAAACCCACGTACCTCAGTTAAATCTGACCTCTCAAACTCGGAAGGGGCGGAACCTCTGGACGTATATGGAAAACAGCTCATTATTTAAATCCTAGATATCGGAAAGTTATTCACCTCGATTTCAAAATGTAGCAACTACATTAAACAAGATAATACAATTGGAGAAACCACACTGTCTGATCTGCGCGCGTACAATCCAATATACAATAACCTTCCTAATACCCAGTATCTCTTTACGAGCCAGTGTAAACCAAGTGAATTCTCCGCGCCCGCTTGTAGGTGTTGCAGAACAGTTCCAGGTCTTTGGTGGATTCTTATGCAGTAGGTCTACCCACTCGACTGGTGTAGCTCTGGTTGGGTATTGGTTAAACTTGTAGGAAGTATCCAATATCCAATATCCTTTTAACGAACATGTGTAAACCAGTTGATTTCTTCTTGCTCGCTTCTTGGTCTTGCGGAACGGTTCCAGGTCTTTGGCGGGTCCAGCCACTCGTCTGCTGTAGCTCTGATTTACAGAATAGGAGGTTAAGTACTGGTTTGTTTGCCTTGGACTGTGGTGCAGTTGGCTTCTTCAGATGACAAGTTGCCAGACACTTGTTCGGACTGGTCGCTAAAGACGGTTAGGGATAGTGGAGAGAAAATCTAGAAAGGTGAACCTATGTGAGTAAAAGGGGAAAAGAAAAGTGAACTAATGGAGTAATCTACTTACACCCGAGTAAGGCAAGGAGGGGTGAAAAGATATGAAGAACTTAGGTAAGTAAGGCCAACTCGTGGCAAGTGGAAGGATGAAAAGGGACTAAATGGCTACAGTAGAAAGAAAACTGGTTGTAGAGTTGGAATTGTTGGGGTGACTTGACGTCAGTTGATTTCTTCTGTTTATTTCGTGTTCCGGCTATTTGTGGGTAGACCATGGGTCCCTGCATGACTGTCTAGCCTCTTCTTGAAGCGTTCAATAGTTGGGGCGGAGACCACATCTACTGGTAGTGCGGTCCAGTACCTGCAGACTCGGAGGGAGAAGAAATGTGGACGCACATTAGTTTTTGACCTTTGGTGGGGTTTCCTCGAGGATCTCCATAGTGCCCACTCGGTAGTATTCCTCTGTTCCGGTGACCTGGGTTATGCAGTATTTTGTAAGCCATTATCAAGTCATCTCGTAACCTTCGGTAGCTAAGAGAGTATACGCCTAGGCTTTTCACTCTGTCCTCAAATGGTTTTCGCTGCATCCCAATAACCTCTTTTGTGGCTTGCCTCTGAACTTTCTCCAGTAGGTTCGTGCCACTTTCGGTTATGGTGGGGTCGTATGTAAGTTTTGTAGAGCTTCAGGAGGGGCTCTGGGTGAGGGCAACTAGTTGCCTACGCACAAAGTGTAGTACACCATATGCTTTTGAGGCATCAACAGGGCAATTGGAGCTGGTGTCCAGTTTCCCAGTCGTCGTCAAACCCAGGTCTTCTTCTGCTGTGGTATGGGATAGACGTAAACTACAGAGATAGTAGGATACATGGATCGGCACTTATCCAGGTTTTAACGCCAGTTCGTTATTAGTTCCCTGTTCCTCTAGTGTTATGAGGTCGGTCTGTAATGCACTCGATTCTGCTTCACAAGTTATTGCCCTCCATAACTTGACATCATCAGCGTAGCGGAGAATCGGAGGGCCGATACGTGGCGGCAGGTCATTCGCGAACAGTAGGAACAACAGTGGACGCAGGATTGCTTCTTGTGAGACACCGTATGAGGATGTTCTCCAAGTTGAGCAGACCCTGTTGACTTTCTTGCAGAACTCCCTAGTGCCTAAGTAGTCCTGCGTCCACGGTAGCACGTGGCTGCGTATAACTAACCCAGCCATCTTATGTGTTACGACCCTGTGTGAGACGGTGCCAAGGGCCTTCGCGAAGTCCAGAAAAGTTGCGTGGACCCGGACTTTGGGACCACAGCCTACTGTCCGGTGATCATGGGCCGTCAGGAGGTTGGAGGCACCGGACCTACCCTTCCGGAAGCAATGTTGAGCGGCACTGAGTGTTTGTTTCCTGTCCAGATATTTCCTGAAGCGGTCTTCCATCACACTTTCCATAACTTCTGATACTACTGGTGGAAGTGCTATGGGTCTATAACATCGGGCAACATTGAAAGCTGTTCAGGCAGTTGGTATGCGCACTTTCCTGATGGAATGTTGAGCTGTGTGCCAAACGTGGTGCCTGACATTTCGGCGATCTCCTGTTCAGGGAAGTTTTCTCCGCTAGAACATTTCATGACTCATGCTCCATGGCCTGCCGATTGTACTATTTGCCGTGAATCCGCATAGGTTTTTGGGGCTTACCTCATGTTTCTTGGAGAGATTGGACTGGGATGACCTCCCGTCTCCCCGCACCCTGATTTTGCTTCGATTTCGTAAGGCTATGTGTGAGTCACGGTCGTCCTGTTCTCTGGAGAGTCTCTATGTGCATCGTGCCCTTCTCTTGGCATTTAGAAGGTGCTCAGTGCCTCGTTTTAGCCATGAGGTTCGCTTTTTGGGCGTTGTTACCGCCAGGGGGATGTTTTGCGAGATGGCCGCCCTGTTGATGTCCTTTACCAGTTCCCAGTGTTGATCGGCCGATAAGGAACACCAACCCACGGGCCACGGCGCTCTTGGTAGGCTTTAGCTCATATCTTCGTAGTTTGCCCTGCTGTATCAGAGGTAAGAGCCAAGTCTCTCGCGCGATAAATGTTCACTGATTACCAGGTCCAAAAAGAGGTTGGACCGGGGCGTTTTCAACCAGATGATCAATAGTCGGTGGGTAACCCAGTTTAAATAAATAAACAAATGTTTTATTCTCACGTTAAAAAAAGTTTTAACATGAGAGAAGCCAGTTTACAGGCTTCATCATGTTGATACATCTCAAAATATCTACAAGACTTGAGCCCTGAGTGATACTGACTGAATGTCATCAAACTCAATTAAAAACTGCCGAAATTCCTGCTAGTTATCCAATATCCAATATTGATAGTGCGAGCGTAGAAAACTAGTAGTTTTTGATCTCTCGCGTCTAGTTCTTAGGGCTTGGTTCCAGTTGTTCGGTTTACTCCTGCAGTGGACGAGGAAATCCCCTCTGCTTTCTTGCTTTTAGCTTCGGTGAGGTGGATGTTTTGTGGGTTAGTAGGTTGTAATTTGTAGAGTGATTAGGGAGCTACGGGTTGCTGGGAAGTTTAGAGAACTGCCATGACTCCTGTCTGTGTAGGTACCTGGAAGAGAATAGTAAGGTAGTGGTAAAGGAATGAAGAGAGAATAAAGAAGAGAGTGAAGTAGCACCATAGAGACTCTGGGAGCTGGGTTAAGGCCGTATCGCTAACCATCCTTGCCTTTAAACAGGAGTTTGCGTAGATAGCCACTCCCCCTCCTGCTCTATGTTCCCTGTCCCTGCGGAAGAGTTCCATGCCAGCAACACGCATCTCTTCGTCGGAGATGTCCGATGAGAGCCAGGATTCGGTGATGAATATGATGTCGTAGTGCTGATGTTCACGCAGCGTCCTCATTTTTGCTACCTTCCCTATTAGCCCCCTAACGTTGCTGTACATACATATTAGAGTGTACCTGATGAGAGGGGAGGTCTGGATGTGTATTTTCGCGGGATGAGCGCTTACGTGGTTGAATTTAGCCTCGCCAGTCCTCATAGGACTGGCATTGTTCCGTTTTTTTGTGTTTTGTTCTTAACTTGGGTGGGGGCTGTAGCAGTGGTGGCTTCTTTACTTGATGTATCTAACTCACTGGTCAGCGCCTGTGTGACGACCACTGACTCCAGAGGTCTTGGTGGTTGCCGTCTCTCCTCTTGCCTTGTGGGTCTAGGCTTACTTTCACATATACGTATTGAGCCACCCATGCGATCTTTCGCATTATACCATGCGTGCAGAACGTCTGTGAGGGAGGCATATGAGTCGAACTGGACGGCAAGTAGTCTGGGATTGGGTATGGTCTTCAGGTGCGCTGGCCTTGGCAGTCTACTGACGCTGTTGGCCGGTATACTGTTGAGACCAACTTTGGTTGAGAGCCATTGCCATTGTTGGACGTCGTGAAAGTACCGATCTTTGACCGAGCTGTCACTTGGCAATTCTGGAATCCCATGTACAACTATAGTGTTGTTTCTGTTGGGATTTCCAACCGCTGACTTTCTCTCCTCCTCTCTTACTGACCATGGCTTGTCAGGCCTGGCCCGAATTTTACAGGCATTAACAACGTCCGGTTGTCGCGAGAGGAGGAGTGTGTCTTCAGCCTCTTTGGCGGTATTTAGGGACACACGTAAAGGGGGTGGCTTATCTCGGGGTGCATGGCTTCCTCGAGAAAGGCGACACAAAGTTGCAGGGAGGGGAGGGAGTCCCAGCATCTGACAGTAGTCGGTCCACATTCGGCTGTCAAATTGTTCCCTCTCGACCAACAATGAGTCTGTCGATACATCGACGTTGAACAAAATGATCGAGTTGGTCCTCCTGTGACCTGGGTTCGTTGTGGGTGGCACGCCCGACTTACCAATGGGTTTGAGTAATTCCACTGGTTGTTTCTCAGTCACGGTGTGTGGGGTGTTCGGAATGGGTTTCGTAGAGGCTTCGGCGGTCGATGTCTTTGGCCATGCGCTTGACGTCCCCTGGGGCCGGGTGGGGGTATGGAGACTTGACCTAATATGGTCCCCACGCGAGATGGCGTGCCCACAGCTGGAGCTCTAGGTCTGTTTCCAGGTCTCTCTGTGTTATCCTTTGGTGTTAACCCTACTTTATTCGAGGATGCTGGTAGCTTTTGCGTGGCGGAGAGCATCTCCTTCAGGCTTTCTGTGCGGAGTGCGGGCATTTTCCTGCACTCTGGACAGATGTACCAGAACCACTTGCATGGTTGTCTCTTCATCAGCTTATAGTATTGTCGGGGGACTTTGGTATCGCAGTGGCAATGCACCCATCGTTGACACAGGTTGCATGCAAATGCCTCATCGACTACCGAAACAACTTTGGTGCAAACACTGCAGCCATCGGGTGTCGTAATACAGCCTTCCTTCCATGAATAAGGTGCTACGGATTGTGGCGAACTGCTTGTGGCTGCCTTGTTCTGAAGCCTTTTACGTCG